TAAATCGGCAAGTAGATCCAGAGATTACCGTCACAAACGTCACAAACTCACAGACTTTACCTCTTTATAATATTAGTATAGATAGAAATACACAAAAAGCTTTCCATAGCATCCACTTAATTAGTTAAATTGAAGTAGAACAGTGTTGACCAACGCAGCAAACGATTTCTAACTCAGTAACATGCGGTTCCAGAGCTATAAACACCACGAGCCGGACCCAAACTTTACTTAATTCTGAACGAGGTGCTAATTACAAAAGTATAAGTTCGTATGAGATTAGCTGAGAGCGAGCTCTCGTGCCAAATGACTAAAGTTTTGAAATATCTGTCCGTTTGTCTTTCCACTTTTTAACGATAAAGCGCATTCTGCATAGAAATGTAATTCATATAATATAATATATTAATTATAAATTAAAATAAAATATTAATTATAAAAATCCGAACTCCGAACTTTTTAGACGCTGATGGATAAATACATACAATAAACTGTCTCGGTCGTGTAGTGGCTAGCATGTACGGCTGCATACCCGGAGGTCCTGGGTTCGAGTCCCGGGTCGGGCCAAGTTTAGTTATTGATTCTTTCTGTATAGTAAGTCTCAGTAACAGCTTGGAGTTGGGAAGTTGGCGGTGTTTCACCCCCGTGCCTCGGAGAGCACGTAAAGCCGTCGGTCCTGCGCTTTAATTCTCACCGGTCGTGTCGAGTGGTCGTCCCACCGGAGTATAAGAGTGAAAGGAATAGAGAGTGCACTTGTGTCTGCGCGTACACTTGAGCACTATAATATCTCTTGCGCAATTGGCTAATCTCAATGAGATTGGCCGCCGTAGCCGGAATCGGCTAGGAGAACATCCTCATCACAATAGAATAATTTGAGTATCGAATTTTCACATTTCTGAATGATAATTCAGCCATCCAGGTCTTTAGAGTTACTGATTCGTTGGTCTAGTAGTTCTGTCAGACAACGCAACTCGAAGTTAAGAAATTGGCGGTATGTTGCATCCCCCATTCTTATCTCCGGTATCGTTAAATTGGGGACCTAGCGAAATATGAGAGTAGAAGGAGTTGAGTGTACTTGTGTTTGTGCACATATATGTACTCTATATTATCTCCCTCGCAGTTGTCCAGTCGGCTAGAGTTGGACCATTGTAACTGAAATTGATAACGAGGAGAACGATATAAATAAAACTATCTTTTCAGATTTTTTCGCGGATTTATTTTGATGTTTAGTTCCCGACGTTTCGAATGTTTTATAGCAATCATGGTCACGAGGAAGACTGGTTTAAGACGTCTCAAAGGCTTTATATAGTTGTTACAGACAGTCTACACACAAAATAACAAAATCCAAAAAATACAAAAATGCCACTAAAGTACCTTACAATATTTGTTAATTTTAATTTTAAACATTTTTATAATTTTAATAAGTTTTATAATTGAATATGGAATGTTATTTATTTAATTTAAGTCGTTATAATTTAAAATGTCAAATATGCGCGTAAATCCAAGAAAGTATTACGAGAAGAACACTAATGAAAGTAAATGAAAGAATGATATTGAACAGATGTGATGATGGAGCTCTGATGAGATGGAGGATAGAATGTTTCAAAACCTTACTAGAAGGTTACCTTGAAGTTCGATTCATTTTAACTAGAAGCTTTAAGTTTGTATGATTATATACTTATTTTTAAATAAAGAAATGTGAAAATTTCTGTGGGTCGCAAAACGCCATTACGTGCTCATTTGTATAAAATTATGTTAGCATATTTCTACTGCCTACCTCGCATTAAAAACCTTTTATATTGAAAATTTCATTTCAATTAAAAAAATACGAATTTTAGACAAAGTTAAGCTAAATTTAAATACTTGGTTTTATATTAGAAAACAGTAACAACATAATAATATTTAGAAAAATATTTTGTACTTATAAAATTTTGTTATTTTGCCTTTAGCGCTTTTCATATTTGAGTTAATCTATTTTCATAAATCACAGTGAAAAATAGATTGTAAGATCAAACGTGTTTTACATTAACTTTAGAATAAAAGAGGATCACAGAAAAAATAAAAAAAACGAATCTAAAAAATATAAATCGACATTAGACATATTTTTGTTATTTTTACGAAAATTTTAAAATCCCATTTTATCTATTCATAATATAATAAAGTTCTGATTCGAATCTGAACATTATTTTTTGGAAAAGCTTATTCAAATAGTCAATATTATCAATACAGAGGCAAAATCTAAAGTTTTTAAAATTTTTCTTTGTCTGTCTGGGAACGCATCACGAGAAAACCATTGGACCGATTTTGATGAAATTTTCTATGAAGATAGCTGAATATCCGGAGTTTTTAATGCGGGAAAATATCTCATCTCTGAGATATCTATACTAAACGTCAAAACGTGGGTGAGTCGCTATCTAGCGAAATATCTATTATTATAATATCTATTATTATAATTTATTGATTTGACAAAAACTTAAGACATTATTTATTCCACTAACCTTAAGCCACAACAACACTTGCTAATACGGTGAAGGAAAACATCACTGAGAAAACCTACATGTTTGAGAGAACCTAACTGTTTTTCGACAGACTTGATATGGTACTTGATACGGTACTGAGTATATATGGAACTGGCTAATGATATATATATATATATATATATATATATATATATATATATATATATATATATATATATATATAAAACCTCGTCTTATCACCTCTACTGGTAACAGGAGAGCTGACTCATTTTTCAGCCGGGGAATGCGGCTAGCATTCTTGCCACTATTCCACGCTGAAATAACTTGTACAATAACGATTAAGTGTACATTTGTTTTTTTACATAATTAAGGATATTTATATTTTGTTTATTACATACATACTCTCGAAACATCTCCCTTTCTAGGGTAAATTTTATACAAAAGTAACTGCTACGCGCAAGTTATAATTAATAGGGGCCGAGCTAGCGGCGGGCCGATTAAATGATATTGAATTAAAACTAGCTAGCGCTTCACTAACTGCGTTGAATGGAGGTACTTGGTGAAGCTGGGCATGTTTAAAAGTTACGGGGTTATATTTTATAGTAGTATTTTACCGCGGCTTGTATACTTTACTTTTTATACTTTGTATAGACGCTCTTAGGGGTCGCAGGGTGATATTGTACTGTCGTCATTAAATGTCTATATATAGCAAAAATATTATTACCACGGTAATGTTACATAATATTACCGTGTTATTACTAACATTTATACTATTATCTATACTAATATTATAAAGAGGCAGAGTTTGTTTGTTCGAACGCACTAAACTCAGGAACTACTGATCCGATTTGGAAAATTTTGCATTAGATAGCCCGTTTATTGATGAAGGCTTTAGGCTATATATATCATCATGCTACTACCTAAGGGAGCAGAGCAGTAATCATAAATGTCAACAAATCGGGCAGATTTCCATACATTATATTACTAATAGCATAAGCCAAAGATTTTTTTGTAGTTTTAGTGTGAGTGAAGCCGCGGCTTCTCCTAGTATTATATGTATATACAACATAAGGACGAACCCGAGCGAAGCGAGGGCGAGTCGCAAGTTTAAGGTATAAAATGATCGTCGCACGTTATTTTAGTATACCAATTATTTGCGTTAGAGTCATTTAGTGTTAGATGATAATTACACAAGTACACAATAAAATTTGTGAAAAATTACGTCATAACAAACCCAACTTATAAAATATCGCAATTAAATAATCTATATCATATTTAAAAATATGATTAATATTATTTCCTTTTAGGTTATATACTTAAGTTTTCTTTTGTATTATGGATGGAAAGACATCAATGAATTTTACTTATATTTTCATTTGCACTGTTTAAAATCACTTTGAAAGTAAATGTGAATACTAGCTAAGGATATAAATAAATAAGTTGAGACATTAACACACAGCACCATCTAGTTCCATGGTAAGCTATAGGCTTGTATTATGGATACCAGGTACACTACACACTACGCGTATGTAACTTTAAATAGATATATATTATAAATATACACATCTATGACTGGAGTACAACCTTTCGTGCTTATCACACAAATGCATGTCCCCAGCGGGACTCGAACCCGCGTCCGTTGGCACGGCAAGTATTACAAACTGAGCCAAAGGTGTCATCTCGTATATAACCTAATTATAGCCAATTTATTAAAAAAAACACACAAAATTAGTTCCTAGATTGCGATTAACATATAATAAAATATACCACATGAATAACAAAAACACCACTTTAACATTCAAAGAAAAGAGAAAAACATAATCAAATTGAAAACCAAAAACTTTTATGGAAGACGCCGTCAACAAAAGTTGTAAAAGTATACTAAAAAGTTATATCAGTAATAATACTTTAACAGAACTGTTATTTTGATGTATGGGGCACTTTGTGTTTAAAATATACACAGCATGTGAAGTTTAAAAACTAAGGAAAGTAAAATAGAATGTCTTTATATTTTGAACATAATGCTATTATTTTTGAAGTTATACTTCTTTTGACATGTTTGGAAAAAATATTAAAGTAAAATTTTTACGATGCGCGCGCACACCGCCATTCAGCTAAAAAGCGACATAATGATGTTAGCTGCATCCCTTTTACAAACAGAGAGTTGTGACATACGGGATGAAATCTTTATCTGGGCATAGGCCTCCCATCAGTACGAGGGGGATCAGGCCATAGTCCACCACGCTGGCCAAGTGCGTGTTGGCGGATCTCACATGTGTTTTGAAAACTTGCTAGGTTCTCTCAGACATGCAGGTTTCCTCACGATGTTTTTCCTCTGCCGTTAAGAGAAGTGGTAATCATGTGGGAAAAAAACCCAAAAAGCACAGATAAAAAGTCATGTAGTTTTTTATATTAATCCTTCAAAGTCCGCGAACACGCCGGCGTTACAGTTAACAATAGATTTCTTAGAAATTTAATTAATTTCTTAGAAATTTTCCTGGAGGTGGTAATAAATAAAAAACTTACCCCTTTAGCAGAACATTCATTGTTGTTGTGGTCGGTGGGGCACTTAGTGTGGTCGATGTACGGGAAGATGGAGGTGCAGGTCTGGTTGACGCACACGAGGTTGTCGCCGCACGGCGTGCCGTCCCGCACGAGCCCCAGCCGACCTATCTCCGAGTACTCTGGTAGCCCTGTGGTTGCTCTGTGGATGTTTTAACATGTTTTAATAATACTTTCTTAGATATATGAGAATATTTGACTATTATTTTTTACAGCAGTAAATGCGCGGTTGGGAAGCAAAAATCTAAATAAAACCTCGAACATGTGGGGAGAAATTGTTTTATTTAAAATGTTTTCCTTTTAAGTAACAATGTAATTAGATTTTAGCAGTCAAATTTAAACTTCTAATAATATCGTATCGATTTCAATCTTTATAAGCATGTAAATCCGGATGGGAATATAATAATTGGACTTATTGATTCGTTCTGACGAATGGCATATATGCTATATACATATGTATATTGTATATTATGTATGTAATAAGAATACACATATGTATGTACAATGATCACAGTTGTAAAACTGTAATGATTATTGAATTGCAGAAAGGTTATAATTTTCGTTCTTTTTCTACAAAATAAAAGAAAATAAATAAGAAAAATGGTATGAGGGTCTCTATTTAAATATGAAAGGTGACCACAACGAGTGCTTTATAAGACGTCTTAACGCTCTGTTGGAATATTGTTGCTTTGTGTTATGGGATATTTAAATAAATAAGTTTTGATTGACGTGAGAATTGAACTCGTTATCAGCGATGTAGAAATAGTTGTCTACGTATCATTAAACTGAGGAAATAAAACAATTCGAAGTAGAACTTACGTTATCATTGCATCACTCAAGAGTTAAGTATATTAACTAAATACTATATTCAGTTCAGAACACTTTACCGAGTTTAAACTTTAAATACACCTTAAATACTCACTTGCAATCGTATTCGTTCCCCTTGATAGTAATAACGGTCCGCGTGTAGTATTCGTCCATTCCCGGGACCACTGGGTATCTGTTGCCCGACTGACATTGTAGGGAGCCGCATCGTACATTCCTGTAAAATTTTTTGATAACTTAGAATTTATCTAAGTGTATAGTGAAATTGTAATAGTGTCGATGTTATACATTTATTGAGCAAAAACAATTTTTTTATAGATATGCACATATATATATGTATTAATGAAATCTAAACAAAGGGTTTTTGAGACTGTCTGTACGTTTATTTATTACGTTACTAGCGGCTCACCCTTGCTTCGCTCGGGTTCGTCGCTAGGTACGTTTTAAATAGATATAAATAGTTATTAGCCAGTGTTATTAGCCATATAAATATTTTTTTTTCGTAAATTTTTCTGACGTTTTAATACTTAGGTATTAACCTATTCCGGAATGAGAGAAATCCAAAAATTCAAATATCATAAAAATTGGTCCAGCCGTTCTTGAGTCTTGTATACGGGAACGCAGTCGAACGGGCTAAAAAGTATCCTATGTCCGTCTCCTGGTTCTAAGCTACCTCCCCACCAAGTTTCAGCCAAATCGGTTCAGCCGTTCTTCAATTATAAATAGTGTAACTAACACGACTTTCTTTTATATATATAGATTTATTTATATCAATTTAATAGTGTACGATTTGAGAGCAGTTGGACGCAATTTAATGATTTTTTGTTGTATAAATCGAGTGCTTTAATAAAAGAGATTAGCAGGGCTTTATATAGATCGGTCGAATAGATCCAAAAACGGTAAAAGCTCATGCTACATGCAATATATTAATTACCAACAAACTATTACTTACTCAGTGTCACACTTCATATAATTTCCATTATTGTCTTGCCCGCAGTGCCCTGTAACGGATCCCTTGGAATTGAACTGTTCGAAACATTCCTTGTCTGCCCCATTGGACCCTGTGCCCCATATTTTTTCACACTGAGCAGATAATGTAGGGCACTGTCCAGCAAAGCAATACCCCTTCCCAGACTCGCACGCTTCACCGTTCTTCCTATATGCATCAGTGGGGCAGGAACCAGAGAGGCCAGTACAGGTTTCTTCTAAATCGCACTCGTTCGTTGCTTCTCGACATGTAACCCCGCGGGGCTTGAGCTGGAATAGAATTGATAATGTTTGTGGACATACATATTGAGACAGAAATGCTATAGCGCAGCTCGATAGGGACGTAGCCGAAATAAAGCTACAACACCACTAAATGCGTGACCAAGTAGTGATATAACAGATGACCGTTACCGTACCCAAGATTTTATATAGGGTTTAGTTTCAAGTTTCAATTATATCAGAATAAAAAATTAAAGTTATTAAAACGGAAAAATATATATAGTATTGTCATTTTCTTGCATATGATTTTCAAAAGTGGCATCTTGTAGCTTGAACTACTTATTAAGATTTGTATATAAGCATGTTTATTTTCCTGTATCCATTTTTTACTTTATTTAAAGCAATAATGTTAACTATTCTACCATCTGAAAATTATAATTTATAACATATTTTTAGTGGCTAAATTACCTGACAACGTTCACAACACTCTCCTTCCGCGCACTGTGCCTCCTTGGTCAGTCTGCAAGTGAAAGGATCACAACACGGGTTGAGGTGTTGGCACTCAGAGATGGTTCCACAATCGCACTCCTCGCCTTCATCCAGACGACCGTTCCCGCATTGACGATGTACGACCAACTGTGCGGAAAGAAACAAAATACATACAATTTCTGAGTTTAATTTGAGAGACCATAAGGAAGCTATCGCACCGTAAGGAAGCTATTGGAAGATAGTTCTGATAGATGTAAAATTCATCTTAATCTGGAGAAGTCTTATTTAAAGAAAATTCAATTTCACTTTAATAAAAATTTGACGCTATAATTAAATTAAGACAATCAAAGCATAACTCAATTTTTTTTGAACGAATAAATTTGCAACGTAATTATTTATTGTATTTTTAGTCAATATTATATAACAAATACATATCGTAGGCAGTGGTTACTCAGTGGTGACGCGGTCGGTTGGTACCCTGCGGGAAACAGGTTCAAATCCCGCACCCTTGATATTCTTATGTGTCAATCATTTCCAACATGATTACCATTTGCTTTACGATAAAGGAAAACATCGTGAGGAAACCTGCATGCCTGAGAAAACCTAGAAAGTTTTCGAAAGACATATGAAGTCCGCTAACCCGCACTCGGCCAGCGTGGTGACTATGACCTGATCCCCATCGTATTAATTGGAAGCCAGTGTCCAGCAGTAGGATTTTAACGAGGACTGTATACATATACACTCGTACATATCCAAAAGCTAGTAGCTACTTCGCCATTTTATTTATAAAAAAAATATGAAAGCATTATTATAAATACTAATTAATAAGACCTTCTAAATAAAAACGGCTGTTATATCTACCCGTGCGACATGAGAGTTCGTTTAGATTAGGCTCTTATAATATTTGCATTAATCTCTTGCAGTAAAAAGCTTAACAGTCACCGTTGAGATATTAAATGGGTCACAGAAAGTGGACTGAGTTAAAGAATAAAACATCGTAATTTAACTTCCATTCTTCGCAGTTCCCGCTTTTGTTTCGTAATTAACTTAATTCTATTGAATATAGCTGGCATAAGAGGTTTAGAGACCTTGAAATTGTATGCAAAAATTATACAGGTGTATTTAAAACACGTGTATAATAATAATTATATGTCCATTTAATGTTGTTAGATTTAGGTGTATGTACATTGTATATACTCTCTCTCTCTCTCTCTCTATATATATATATATATATATATATATATATGTATATATAATACATAAATAATTTATACATATAATAAAATTGTGACTAAGTCGAATCTACATTTAATAATTTTTGAAAAATCTTATTGAAATAGACATTATTACCAATACACAGCCTGAATCTATTTATTATGTAGTTTTTAGAATTTTTGTCTCTCTGTCTGTCTGTCTGTTACCGCATCACGGGAATACCACTGGAGGGATTTTCATGAAATTTGGTATGGTGATAGCTCGTTATCCGGGTCAACATATAAGATACTTTTTACCGCGGGAAAATGTCTCATTTCTGAGAAAAAATACAAAACTGCAATTTAAGAGTATACTAATATGTAAAACCTAAGAATTTGGTTTCTGGTCATCTGAACGAGGGCGGAGCCGCGGGCAATGCTAGTATGTATATAAAATCCAAATAATACCACCACAAAGATAGGATTTTTTTGAAAAAACATTTAATTGTTTTTTTTATTAATTAAGTAGTATGTTGATAGTATTAAAAACTTAAAATTATAATACAAATAATAATATAAAAACTACGTCAAAACCTGTTTAATATGTGATAAAAACATATCTTAAGATAATTTTAATTAAAGCGGAATCTCAAAAGAAAAATCCAGCTCACAAACGAAGCAGTCACTTAAAAGCTCTAGAAAAATTTTACAATCAGAAACAATGGAACATAAAAAGCTCCAAACCGATAAATATGTAACGCAAATCGATAGCCTCGTAGCACCGTAGCCGCTATGTAAATTTATTCCAATATGAACGGTCTACGGTCTCTGTTCGTATTATATATTCGCGAACGATGAGATAATTCCGAGGGAGGCCGGTATTACCATAACTTTTATTAAAGGAGTGGGCAAGACAAACAATACTGCCATTAATTTTCGACCTAGATATCTGTTTTGCATTCGAATGGCTGGTGGTATTTCGATTGTCGTTTTGTGGGTGCTTGGACGATTATAGATGGGTTTAAAAAAGAAATGAGGTTTATGAATGACGACGGAGAGCATGGTCATTACCATTGAGTAGAAGGATATTTCCATAATGATAATAGAACACATATACTATTATATAGCAGTATTTTAGATGCTTCTCTGATGATAAGAATAGCTCCATTGACGTAAATATTTTTTGGAAAATTTAGTATGTTGGGGTTATTATATTAGACAACTGCCTCAGTGGTGTAGTGGCTAGCATGTACGGCTGCACACCCGGAGGTCCTGGGTTCGAGTCCCGGGCCGGGCCAAGTTTAGTTATTGAGTCTTTCTGTATAGTAAGTCTCAGTAACAGCCCGGATTTGGGAAGTTGGCGGTGTTTCATCCCCGTGCCTCGGAGAGCACGTAAAGCCGTCGGTCCTGCGCCTTAACTCTCACCGGTCGTGTCGAGTGGTCGTCCCACCGGAGTATGAGAGTGATAGGAATAGAGAGTGCACTTGTGTCTGCGCGTACACTTGAGCACTATAATATCTCCTGCGCAGTTGGCTAATCTCAATGAGATTGGCCGCCGTAGCCGGAATCGGCTAGGAGAACATCATATTAGACATCAGCATAGATCGTACTTTTTAATATTTTTGAGAATATTTTTTATATAATACTGCATTGCCCGCGGCTCCGCCCGCGTTCAGATGAGCAAAAACCAAATTCTTAGGTTTTACATGTTATTATACTCTTACAATGCAGTTTTTGTATTTTTTCTCAGAAATGAGATATTTTCCAGCAGTAATAAGTATCCTATATGTTGACCCGGCTAACCAACTATCACCATACCAAATTTCATCAAAATCCCTTTCGTGGTTTTTCTGTGATGCGGTAACAGACAGACAGACAAAAATTCTTAAAACTATAGATTCGGCCTAAGTATCGATAATAATGTCTATTTCAATAAGATTTTTCAAAAAATATTTCATGTACAGATTCGACTTAGTTAGAATGTTATTATATGTATAGATGAATGAAGGTAAATCGAAGAAGCTAAAAAGGTTAAAACATAATGCTGAGGTTAATTTAAAAGCTAGAAATCTATTTAGCATCCGAAGACCCGTGATAATGGCCGGTAGCAATGATGTCGTTGAAAAGTTGTTGGAAGTTTGGATCGTGGTTTAGAGGTGTCGTCGGGAAACTTTTACTTGTTCAATTATAAATGTGAAGTACATTAAAGAGGTTAAGTGTGGTGTTTGATGAAAAATCTCAGCCATTAATAAGAACTGCTTATATAAAATATGAGAAAAAAGCAGTTATGAGGACTGCCGACAGAAGTGAATACTTAAAACTATAAACAAACAGTTGTTATTCTTGGATATTCAAATTAATTGTTAGATCTTAAATTAAAATGTGTAAATTAAAACTGTTAACATATTTTATCTGGCTTTGACATCTATCGGCACTATGAGTGTTAGCGTTAACACATGACGTGACCATGTCGATGACGACTTACATGAATTTACTACCATCCAAAACTGCCTATAGATGTTTTCACTTCCAAGAGTATTGATTTATTAATAACGCTATAATTAACATATTTATAAAAATTTTGGTATCCCATTTCTAATACATGACATGATAGCAAAAATAAGGTTTAAAAAGATACTGTAATTTTCATAGACGAAAAGATAAAATTTACATAAAATAACCATTACAAAACTTATATTATCAGCTAAAAAAGCCGCTCAAAGGGAAAACTTCCGAATCTAAACTTTTCAACTACAAAGTTTAATTGATTCAAAAATTTATTACGAACTAGCAAAATATTCTCAAAGAGCTTTAACAGAACTGACTAACTCATGAGCTTGGTAATAGACCTAAGCTTCATTTGAACGGTAAGCCGTCGCATAGTTTACTTCGTTAGGAATTTTACCAGTGCCAAGAATTCTCAATACGGATATTTTCACTCGCCTTTAAACGATGCCTGATATTAGGCTTGGACTGTGTTTGCTTCAAATACCTTTATACGATTTTGTATATTTAGTGCCCCGATTCCTGACTCAAATAGATATTGGAAAGGATAACTATTATTATAAGGGTAGGATCAAGTTACTACCAGCAATTCTTATTTAATGAAGATACTTTAGAGTCAAGAATGTCTGCGAGTTGGTTGTAAAAGAAAATCTTATTACTTTATAAATATATGTACGAGTCTAGTAAAAACATCAGAAATGTCCATTACATATTAAAATTGCCCAATATCCAATAATATCCTTGGAGCGAACAAAATTACGCAACCCTATAAATTCGAGGCACATCCTATAATGTAATACAAATTAAACTCACCTCATTAGGTTTATTGAGCAAGCATAACCCTTGTCCGATGCGCAGTTCGTTGATGTAGTCGTTTTTGGAGCACTCTGAGAACTTGTATGGTTGAACGTTTTCCAATCCAACGATAGACTGTGCCATGATGCAGCCATGCCAGTCTCGGCAAAAGCAGTTCTCTCTGCCGTCATCGTGACCCATTCCTGGTGGAAATTTTAGATAGAAACATTGAAAAAGATTACTTATGAATGGATTGTGGATTTTTAATAAGACGAAAAAATATAGAAAAAGGTCATACTTATATATTTTATTGCAGCATAAATAATTTCAACAGGCAGTATGTCTAAAATAAATAAATATGTTGGGACATTAAAACACAGAACTATCTAATTCCATGGTAAGCTACGAGGCTTGTGTTATGGATACCAGATAGTTGATACACTGCACATATATAACTTTTAAATACATACATATTATAAATATAAACGCCCATGACTGGAGTGCAAACATTCGTGCTTATCACAAAAATGGATGCATCTAGCGGGACTCGAACCCGCGACCGTTGGGCTGGCACAGCAAGTACGGTCACTACAAACATGTCGTCAATATAATTATGTATATTTGTATAGAATTTGATGGGCAAAGGTGAACTCATCTTTAAAAGAGACATCTTACAGTCTTTGCTAATTCTTTGGCGCGTTGTGATATAGTGTTATAAAGCAGGTTAATTTAGAACAGACGTTTAAAAAGATATACGTAATAGATATGACTAGCATATATTGAATGAAAAAATCTATTTAATAGAAATGCTTCATTAGATTGCTTTTAGTTTTGTTATAACTAAATTTAATGTACCATTTTTTAACTCGTATATTGAATTTCAATGTTTTTTTGAAAAAGAAAAAATACATAAGAAATGCCATTTGCCTATCAATGAGTATCGTGCATCACATTTGAAAACATGAATCGAGTACAATACATCTGAAGCATTTGATACGAAGAAGTTCTTAGAATACTTTACAGTACAAGTTTTATATCACTACTAACATTTCTATTTTCATTTCTATTCCTAGAACATATAAGATGATTTAATATTAAAATTGTATAAAGTATGTAGATAAAATTGTAGCAAAACTCGTTTTAGCCATAGAGGGTCTTTGGGAACGAAATCGTTACCTATAAGACAGTAAATAATTTATAAATGTAATTTGTAATATCTCGTTAAATTACACATTATGAACTGTATAGTGTATGTAGTAGTTAATTAATCAAGAAAATTATAAAGTTTATGAACATTGTTTGGTCTATTCACGAGAAAATCGTATAATGTCTTATAAAAAAAAATTAAGATGATAGTTCTTGGGATAGCATTGTAATACTTTTATGTTGGTAATACGTTTCCTATCAATAACAGTTAAATTAAAACACTAAGTCGAAATTCATACTTTTCAGAAATAGCTGAAGAGTTGAGAATATCCTTAATTCATAATAAATTATAGTTTCATCATAATTAGAAGTATAATATTACCAATATTGTGCCCGATCATGTGCGCCATCGTTCCAGCCAGTAGGTGAGGCTCATAGCTATTGCTGTCCACAGAGATGCCCACAGATTTTGGAGTGCACATGGTATCTGGTACTGAAATACCAATTTCTCCACTAAGAAAATTATGGCCACTGTAAAAGAAAAAAAATGTTATATTTATAAATTATTATTATTTATAAATGTATTAATATTTATATTTATTTATGTATGTATTAATTTATATTCAGCTCTTAATAATGTCTCACTGCTAGGCACGACCTAACTTCATTACGAGAGGATCAGGCCATAGTCCACCACGCTGGCCAAGTGCGGGGTGTCGGACTTCACACGTCTTTCGAGAACTTGCTAGGTTTTCTCAGACATGCAGATTTTCTCACTATGTTGTCCTTCTCCATAAGAGAAGTAGTAACCATGTTGGAAATGATTCGCACTATGAAAATATCAGAGTTGCGAGATCCAGGATTTCGCTAATGAACTCACTTCACTCGGTTTCCCAAGTGAGATAAAACTTGGCTACCACTGCCTATGTATTAATTTAAATCTATACTAATATTATAAATGTGAAAGTTTGTGAGTATGGATGTATAGATGCATGTTTGTTTTTTCTTTCACGTAAAAACTACTGAACGAATATTGATGAAACTTTACAATAATGTAGCTCATACATTAGAATAACACATAGACTACTTTTTATCCCGGAAAAGTGTACGCTTCCTGTGGGATAGATTTGTTTTTGTTTTTCTAGAGGCGAACCTGAGCGAAGCGAGGGTGAGCCGCTAGTGCACAAATAAAGAGAATATAGATCCTTTCTTCATTACTTCCTTTTCTAGTTTCATATATAATTATCATGCTAAACTAGGCCATGGCCTAATAATAATAATAATAATCGAACTCGCAATCACCAGAGTAGAGGACCGTGCCAGCCAAACTTGCTTCACTGCATTACGAGATGAACATAACGTGTTTAAATGATAATAAAATGAATTTGATTCTTAACGAATCAAAATTTCTAAGAAGTTGGGACGTTTTTGTTTTAAAGAAGTAAGAGCATCGCCCACTATCCAATTTATTGGATCAGTTATTTAAATTAATTGCTCTTAAAATCTCCGTTTTCCTCAATTTACGAAATTATTGGATCAAACAAATCAAATTTGAAGATGACATTCGATATTTTGAATAATTATATTTTTAATTTTTAAAAGAAATGAAAATATTGAATTGTATATATATAACCCCGGATTGTAGTGAATATTTCACATATTACATAGATTTTATTTCAATTTGGTTATAATAAAAAATATATATTCGTACAAATAGTATAAAGGTGAAAGTTTGTGAGGATGGATGGATGTTTGTTACTCTTTCACGCCATAACTACTGAATGGACTTAGATGAAAGGCACAGTGATAGAATATAGTCTGGAAAAACACATAGGTTACTTTTTATCCCGGAAAAATATACGGTTTCCGTGGGATAGACTTGTTTTTGTTTTTCCCTAGGGACGAATTTTCATACAAATTTCCACCTCCTTATCACTCATTTGGGAGTCAAATTTCCAAAAAAACCCATTCTTAATGGATACCTTCATTCTATCAGAAAACTGCTAGCTATTTTTTATATTTATTTTAAGTTTAAAGCATTTATACTGTCAGAGATTTCGTGATTAATCAGTAATAGTGTATTTCGCTCTTAAATATTTTAGATCCTCCATCCATCCTAGGGACTAACAAGTGGAGGATGACAATATTTTCATTTATTTTCTCTGTAAACACTAAGGATAAGCATATAAGGGTTAGCATGAAGCCACGATATATTTATACCAAAAGCATTTTACTTTTGAGGTCAACAGCAAATATATCTTAAGAGCCATGAAAAAAGCTTGTAACGTTCTTGGATTAATGTTTCCGGATTTTATAGATACTTAACCCTAACCTAGCTAGCTGTCTCACTGAGAAACTGACAGATTTGGGTTATGTGGCACAATAGAACAAAAAATAGGTATGGGCTTGACGAAGCCCTCTCGAGAGTGACTTATAACTAGCATTTGTATGATTCATTTTATTACAAAGGTTCTAGTTCGTGTGTTAAGTGTTAAGTTTGAAAAGCTTTTTGTTTCTTGTTTGAGCTTTGGTGGTTATAATTTGTTTTTTATTATATGAAACTTAATTTTTAAAACTTAAGATTTCCTCCTTAAATTTTAAATATCTTGTTTAGTAAATATACATAATATACTCGTAGTTTGGCTTAGTTTGTTAAGTTAAAGTTAAAGATATTATATACATTTTTATGTGAAAAACCGTATTTTCGACTTGACGTATATACATTGTACAACTACGTTATAATATATTTTTTGACTAGCACTGCCCGCGGCTCCGCCCGCGGTTAGATGACCAAAAACTAAATTCTTAGGTTTTACATTTTAGTATACTTTTACAATGCAAGTTTTGTATTTTTTCTCAGAAATGAGATATTTTCCCGCGGTAAAAAGTATCCTATACGTTGACTCGGATAACCAGCTATCATCATACCACATCTCATCAAAATCCCAGTGGTTTTTCCGTCATGTGGTCACAGACAGACAGACAGACAAAAATTCTAAAAACTATAGATTCGGACTCTGTATCGATAATAATGTCTATTTCAATTAGATTTTCCAAAAAATATTTAATGTTCAGATTCGGCATAGTTACAATTTTATTATATGTATAGATGTTCATATCATCTACTTTTATTTGATCTTGCCCTTTATATTTTACGTACTTTGCTATTACTTACAATATACCTTAACAGAGTAAGTAGGCGTGGTGCCAAGCGCTACATTGCCGCATTTATTACACCATCGTCCTTTCCACTTCTTATTTGATTTACGACTATTAGGGTTTTAGGCGAAAATTCTAAATTCTGACTAAACCAAAAATTGCAGATTCGATGCTTGGTTGAATTAATATTAAAATTAATATGAATATATTACCATACAGATGATAAGAAAATGTATACGAATTTGGTGGAGGGTAAAAAGAATAAGGGCTTATACACACCATGTTAAAAAACGCGCCGTATCATGAAACTAAATAAGCAAGTGATAAACTTAAATAATTCAGATTACATGCGTTCAAATACAATATATCAATACAAATGCTCGCAATGAACATTTCGCTTCAAACGCGCGTCGTTAAAAGTCTTCGTATGTGTAAGTCCTAAATCGTCTCTACATTATTTGTCTACGTCGAAACGGAATATATAAAGATGAGCTATATCTAAACCCTCAGTATGTTTAATACTATATATTATGTATATATAAATAAATGAAAATGCTTCGTAACCAAACGTTCATAGCAGATTTTCATCACTCCGCATAATCGTCGATCTAAAACGGTGACAGGCAAATTATGACAGGACATCCGCTTGTTATCACGTATCTATCGGCTTTTGGAAATTAGCGGTCTCAAATTTGATCTAAAATATGCTTTATATGTTCCCTATAAAGTTCATTTTTACTTAAACACAAGGGATTTCGAGATACACTGAAAAATGGAGACATTAATAAAACATGAAGAGTATAAAAAGCGTTGTAGGGTTTGCTATTGCATTTCGAAGGAATTCATACAATTCTGGAGAGAGCGGGATATATGTATCTATGAATGTATATGGTTGTAATAAAATTAAATTGTAAATTTTATACCTATTTTCTGTTAAAAAATTCAAATCCAATAAAAGGTTTTTCCAAACATAGTTATGTAACCTGTAATAAATAGTTTCACAAACCACTCGGCACAAAGTATCACGTTTTGTGTAAGTCAAAGTTTAAAAGTAAACAAACAAACGATAATATTTAGCTAAAACGAACATGACAAACAAACAGTAGGAAAGTTTTATATTATTATTATTCAATCTACATTATTAGTCTACATTATAAGTCCGAAGGAAAATGTCAATAATCGCTGATAGAAATTTTGAAAGTACGTAATATATTGGAGTGACATATTTTGATCATATGACATAATGCTTAGATATTATGTCAATTCCATAATAAATTTTTTAGTTGTCTATTAGCGATAGCCATTGTAGAAACTTATCTTGCCTCTTGAGAAGATCTGGTTCAGTAAGTAGTATTCAGCCCTTTTTAACGTCCTCCCTTCAATACGAGGGGGATCAGGCCATAGTCCACCACGCTGGCTAAGTGCAGGTTGGCGGACTTCACATGTCTTTGGAAAACTTACTAGGTTCTCTCAGACATGCAGATTTCATCACGATGTTTTCCTTCACCGTAAGACAAGTGGTAATCATGTTAGAAATGATTGCACGTGAAATTATCAGACGTGCGAGACACGGGATTTGAACCCGCTTTTCTCAGTTTGCCAAGCGAGTTCATTACCACTGGGTTACCACTGCCTTCTGATTCAATAAAGGTGTACTAAATAGGAAAACACGCGGACATATCCATATGCTAACGATAGTATCTAAAAAGGTACATTAATATTAAAAATTAATTTCACCCAAGTATTTAACAACATTGCATGTATAAATCCGCAATAAGCTTTTGAAGTGCAAAGCATAGCAAAGCTTAACGTCCTCTTATTTTAATTATGTCCTCTATCTCGTTAGCATTTCTATGCAAAGCTTAAGATATCACGTCTTGGGCCTAAATCTGCTTATTCGTCTTTGATACTGAGTTAAATGTTGCTGAGACTGCGTGAAACGATGTAATTTAGACAAATTTGCTTCGTGCTGCCCTTTTTGCCTTTTTAATCTACTTGAGAATGGAGGTACTCAATTTTAATGTTAGTTTGTTTGTCTGTATTTCTGAACACTATTAGGTTTGCATTAAAAAAAATATATTTGTTTTTAATTAAGTGAATGTTGAATAATATGTAATATGTTTATTTTATTTAAATATATTCTGGATTTAACAGTTGACATATTTAATAATGGATATATGTACATATATTATCTATGCTCGTAAAGTCATGGCGGGATTATCTTGATAGAAAATATAATTAGAGGAAGTTTAAAATGGACATTTGTAGTGATAATCATTTTATTTCTTTTTTTTAATAATTAGTTAAAAAGTGTTTAATTAATATCTCAGAATGAATTCTGATATAAACTTTAAATATCTGTTACTACTCGTAATATCTGTATTAACTATAAAAAGGGGTAAGAAAATCTATTTATAGAAGACATGGCCACATCCTTTGTTAATATTTTATTATTAATAACTCTATAACCGTTAAAACGTATTTAGGGACGAACCCGAGCAAAGCGAGGATGAGTTGCTAGTACTATAACAAATGTATAATGGAGATAATTTACATCTAGAATTAACAAAAAGTTTCTTTTTAAACACTTCTTAAATGAGCAGAACTTACGGCAAAATCAATACTTCCATCTATTCTCTATAATATAAAAATGAATCGCTGAATGTGTTGGTAAGCGCACATCTTGAGAGCAGCTGAACCGATTTCGCTAATTCTTTTTTTAGAATATTCCTTGAAGTACGAAGATGGTTCTTACGGAGAAAAAAATTTAAAAAGTTGCCTGAAAAAGTCTAAAAACAACACTTTTCTATACCTCCATACAAAAGATTCGTAATAATACTTAAAAGTCAATTTGAACTTTAATACCATACCATAAAGTTTAAGTGTTAGTGGAGAGGTTCCGGGAAGGCAAACAATTGAGTGACGTTAGTATCGTATAAATATTATTGCCAATATTTGTCAATATTATTAACAAAAAAAAATATGGCCCACGCTGGCTAATAACTATTTATATCTATTTAAAACGTACCTAGCGATAAACCCGAGCGAAGCGAGGGTGAGCCGCTAGTATTAATATAAGAATAAGAAAATAACTCTGTTACTTGTTCACGCTTAAGCCGCTGAAAAGATTTCGATAAAATTTGGCAAAAACATAGATTGAATCCTGGGATGAGGCATAGCCTATCCTTAATCCCCGCCCCACTTATCAGCAAGCGAAGCCGCGGGCAAAAACTAATAATATATATATATATATATATATATATATATATATATATATAAAAGTAACTTACGTCAACAGCTGCGTAGTGTCCTTCTCAATCTTGAACAACTTTCTAGCGGAGTAGTCGCTGAACTTTTGTATGGCGCGATCTATATCCTGTTTCCGTTCTATGTTCGCTTGGTCCGCACTCTGCCATGATTCGATGTAAACTACCGACACTCGGGTGTTGAGAGTGCGAAAATACTGCGAAAAAAAGTTTATTTATTTATTTTGTAAACAAAATATACATATAAGATCATAAGGGAAAAATATTCATGTCAAAATTCGATTGGGGGTCGTAGTTCACATTTTGTGTGATGACAAATATTGCTTCTAAAAGATTGAAGATTTTTTGTGAATGAGGTTGTTTACGTAGTTAATTAGTCTAACAAGATAGTTTTATTTAAAATGTCAAATATTTGCGTAAATTTAAGGAAGTATTAAGTTCAAGGTTTTCTTGGAAACAACACTATATGGTATAAATGGGTATTATAAATTGAAAATATGCAAATACACCAGTATATGGGCCGTTATCTCCTTGCAGCCTTGGGAACACGTGTAACCTCCCCATTAAACTTAAGAACTTCTGACGATAAGTCCGTAGAAGCATTTCAAATTTCAAGCGTATAATGTACTACTAATGCAAGAACTCTCACTCGTTAGTAGATACTAAGGGCCAAGTTTGCGAAGCCCGCATCAAGCTTTAGAAGAATTTTTTTTCATTGGAATAGCAAATGCGAGTTTCCATCTCTTTAAAATGCTGCATTTCTTGGGTTTGATCAATTATTCATGGTCTCGAATCGAGTAATCGTCTGACGATTATATTTTTTCTCTATATACAACGTGCTTTGTTATAAATTAATTCGTTATTGTATTGATAGAAATGGAACGCAATCTATCTAGTTAAATCTTTTTGCCACTTGGTGGCGCTTCGGTCTATATAATATATATCCTTACTTGTACGTGTATCGCTCTTAAATAATTATGATAAAACTATTTATCTATAATATAAAAATGAATCGCTGAATGTGTTGATAAGCGCAAATCTCGAGAGCAACTGAACTGATTTCGCTAAATCTTTTTTTAGAATATTCCTTGAAGTACGAGGATGGTTATTACGCAGAGAAAAATTTAAAAAATTGCCTGAAAAGGTCTTAAAACAACACTTTTCTTTACTCCTATACAAAAGATTTGTAATAACTTAAAAGTCAATTTGAACTTTAATACCATAGTGGAGATGTTCCGGGAAGGCAAAACAATTGAGTGACGTTAGTATTGTATAAATATTAACAAAAAAATTACAATTTATATGGCTAACGCTGGCTAGTTATTAACTATTTATATCTTTTTAAAACGTACCTAACCCGAGCGAAGCGAGGGTGAGCCGCTAGTTTCTTATAAATATTTTTCTTTTGTTAAAAGTCCTACAGTTTTTACGAACAGTTTAAAAAAATGTATTCTCATGAAATCATGTACATCATTTTGGTAACGCTGTAAGTTGTTAGGAAAAACCGGTAAAATAAATAGCCGGCACTAAATAGTCTATGCATAGACGGCTACCGCAAAGTAAATGTTGGGGGTACTGCCATAAAGGCACTTGTGCATTGCGAGGGGTGGCTTATGGGGTCTCTTTGTATGAGAACGCGTGTTTGTTGAAAGGGGTTTAGAGATTGGTAAAGTTGGTTCCATTTTCATCAGAAATATTGTGATAGTTGCAGGTATTTTGCTCGTAGCTTTCAATAGTGTCTAACATTGAATGTTAATAAATACTATAGGAAATTAAAAATTGTCTGACATTATAAAGAAGGTAATATTTTTAGAGTATATTTTGACATTTTCAGTAGTTTTAAGAGGCTTGATGAATTTTAAAAGTTGAGATTTAGTAAGATAAATTAAATTGACGTTTACAAAATAAAAAGACGATAAATAAATATGTATATAAAAATGCCACTCAATTTCAAATTGTAATGCTGGAGTTAAGTACAAACTAAAAGCAAGTAGGTACGTTCATATTTAACCAGCCTACAATATTTTAAGAAATGAATAGGTAAATATATATTTTATGTATCGAAATGTATTAGATTTGCTTTGCATCGGCTGGCACCGACTTCGAAAATATCTGATAAGGTATCTATTCTAGATGAAAACCCGTTTAGTTATTTTTTACATTTTAGTGCCTGGAAGTCGTTTTTTTAAGTTTTTATTGTTATCTTTCTTTTCATAATAAATAATAAATATATTGGAACATTTACACACAGCACCATCTAGTTCCATGGTAAGCTACAAGGCTTGTGTTACGGACACCAGATAGTTGATACACCGCACATATAAAACTATAAATATATACATATTATAAATATAAACATCCATGACTGGAGTACAAACTTTCGTGCTTCTTACACAAATGAATGCTCTCAGCGGGACTCGAATCCTACTACAAACTGAGCCAAACGTAAAGTATTTATCTATCAATCTTTATCATTTTAAAAATAAAATGTATATATTAAAGGTGAACCCACTAGATTTAGTAATAGTATTATCTTAGCACTACCAAACGGCAAAGAGAATTAACTTACCAAATCAGCGATGTTAGCAACTTGTATTCCGTCGTGGATGACTTCAGACCTCGTGCTGCCATTCCTTCTTTCAAACATAGCTCGATCTATTACAACCGCTGTTTCTATATACTTGGTTGTCTCTCGCACGTCCCTCTTGTATCTTTCTAGGGCTTCCTCGCTGAGACCGGACTGCCACCAATCTACTGCCCGGCCACTGTGAAATACATAAAATTAAAGTTATTATTTTACCGTCTCGAAAAGAGATGGTGGCTTGTGAATGGCTGATCGAATTTACTTGGCTTATAGCTAAGACCACTCTCGATCAAGTCACTTTTCATATAAAAAAGTTTAAATTAAAATCGGTTCATCGAGTTTGGGCGCTACGATGACACAGACAGATATAGAGATACACAGATACACACTCAAACTTATAATCCCCTCCTTTTGCGTCAGGAGTTAAAGATATGTTTTTAGAGCACAGTTATTAATAGAGGAAGAGCCCGTGAACGCCAGACCTTCGTCATTTTATAAAAGCTGAAAGTTTGTCAGCGCATGCTCCCAACACAGATAAGAACGATGGACCATTATGAAGTTCAGGCTATGGTGGCTTTGGCAGTACACGGTACTAAAGGTGTTTAAAATACCGATCTAAATTCGTCAAATAATAAAGTGTGATTTTTTGGTATTACCTTCAGAATATTATTAAAAATCACGTCATTCAATGCCAGACAATTAACATCGTGGCAAACCCTTGCCAGCACCTTTTCATGAAATCATAATTCTATTTACATTATAGTATAAAAGCTGATTTTTATATATAATACTTGGGTAATAATTAGATGATTTATAAGACTGCTAGCACAGCATTTATTACACAACATCAAAAATAAAAGTCAATTCTTAGCGCTTCAAATTTGGTGACCATTTGCAACATTTTCTTAGAAATGCCTCCCAACTTGTTTGGAACATTTTTCATAATGGTCCATCGTTCTTATCTGTGTTGGGAGCATGCGCTGACAAACTTTCAGCTTTTATAAAATGACGAAGGTCTGGCGTTCACAAGCTCTTAGGCCATTAGGCTATAAGAAATATGTTTGATAGTTAAGGTTTTAATACTCCCAAGGATCTAGTTCTGCAATTAACCAGTCATATATCATAAGTTCTAAATATATTGTTGTTAAATGTCACTATAAGGTTATTATTTTGTTAATGTTTAAAATATAATTTGTTAAATTAATAAAGTATGAAATAAAACTCAGAAAATACTGACATCATTCAAAATTATATTCCATTTGTTGTTTTTAAATTTATCTTATTTGGTAATGGCAAATATCATTTACTATACAGCCTATCTAACTATAATTAGTTAATTTTCATATGAGTTATTTGTTTTGGTACAGTATATTAAAATTTACAGGGTCATGAAATTATGATAATAATTTTTAAATAAAAATTAATCAAAAAGGTTTTATTTGAGGGTGTAATATTAGTTAAAGTCACGTTAAATACTTAATAAGTTTTTAAATGAGTTTCAGTAGATAAAGGTTAAAAGTCATACAGCCTACTCGTGTGAAGTAAATTAAAATATACATATAGTTAATTACAGAAGATAGAAAGTAAGTCAAATTGTTACGCAATACTTACATATTCAAAAGCTATTATTAAAAAAATAAAATCATTAATTATCTATATTAATCAATGTACTCGTAGACAGTTTCCTAAATACATGGTATATACGAATTACGTTTGCAGCAGTCAGGAGGTCGAAAAAAAACCGAATAATTAATAATTATTTATTAATTTTACATTAATACAATAATTACATATCTTAAAACTAACGACTTCTTTACTCGAAGTATGAATAAAGAGTGATTGGAAAAGTATTACAATTAATAAAATTACTAAATTAAAACAATGCGGCATTACAAAACTAATTCGAGGAACTCTGCGGTGGTCGCCTGGGAAACGTACATTTATATGATATGTCAGCATATTCGTGGGATTAGGGTTCCGTAACTCCTCCACCCCTAGAGAGGCAACTATTTGAGAATGTTGAGTGAAAAAGTTGCCGGAATACTTGTGTCCTTAAGAATCTCTGGGTTATCTCCATTTTCTAAAATTTCTTCCTTTTTTGTAGTAGTTTTCTTATACTTTCTATAGTGTAATAAAATGATAAGTGCACCTGCACTGAATAATATTGCGTATACTGGTATGGTTGTATGATATACCGTAATATCCTTTTCGCGTTCAATTTGTAGCGGTGATTGTATCATAATTTTGTCCTTGAGTCTATGGAGTCCTTGGATATTTATAGATGATATATTAATAGTTGTATCTAGGTGCGCAATTTCATCGGGTATCTTCATCAATTTTAAGGGCTGTCCTCTTACTTCGTTGTTGTCATTAATTAACGTAAATTCTTCGGATATGATTTTGCATCCTAGGGGAATAGTTATTAGGTAGCTGCCTTTTAATGAAGTGAATTCCTGTTTACCGCATGATATTTGTATCTTTTGATGCTGGGGGAACGATATAAGGTAGTGCATATCGTCTAGTTTCTCCATTGATTCTCGTAGAAGATTGACTGTAGTTAAGTGACAAGATTCCTTCAAAATCTGTTTAACAATTAGCTCGTGGATACAATCTGAATTTGTACGAATCTGATGATTGAGTTCCATTTCACAGAGATACCAGCTGCTATGTCTCGGGCATTCGGCCTCTATGTACACGAATGAATTCTCGTTAGTTGCAATGAAAGGAGAGGATGGGATGAGAGCCTGCGATTTTTTATTAGGTACTACTGCTAATCTATATAATAAAAAATTATCCTTAGAAATAATAGGAAATCGGAATATAAAAACTATTTGCTTATTAGCATAATAAGAAGCTGGTTGGATTATATTATAATATTCTCTTAATTCTAAATTTAAAATACACTCTTTTCCGTAGATATTCTTAAGCTTATCTATCATTGAACTTAATACATCTATACTAATCATGGAATGGTGCATGCTTGATGCATGAATAAAAGCTAAACTATTTTCTATTCTTAGTAATTCGTTCATTAAATCGTCTATGTTTTCACTTAGTATTACTAAAAGTTGGGCAAATTTGGCATATTTAATTAAAGTTGTATTATCTATATTGTTAGAAAGTATTAACATTAAGGTGCTATTAATTTTACTTTGATTTTCTACTAGTTGAGTCAAAACGCTATTATATTTAGTGATCCATTCTTTGCTTATGCTTAACTGATTATTAAGTTCATTTGTAATTTTTTCCTGATTACTTTCTAATAATTTTATAGCTTCATTATACCTTAAAGCATCCGTATAATCTAAGTTTCCTGTAATACTTTTTATAACTGTTCCGAGTCCATCAATAATCCCTCTTTTAGACCTGTTGGGTTGTAAGGATTTAATTTGATATAATATGTCATCTAATTTGTTGAGCAAGTAATTTATTTGAATTTCATATACTGAATAAGTGTCATTAGGTAATTGATTTTTGTAATTGTGCAAATGGTTTTGTAGACTGTGTGTTTTATCTTCTATGTCGTCGAGTTTTATGTATTGTAAGAATGTGTGGTAATGTGTCGTTGTTTCATCGGTCCAAGTTTGTAGGGAAGTATTCCAGGTCCATCATCAAGACTCTCGAATTTAATTTCCTGAAGATGTACCAGGGGTAGTATCATGAGCACCAGGATTCTGTAACAAATTCGCTGCTTTAGGGATTCGCTTTAGTCGCGACTTTGCTATAGGGCCACGTTTCTTTTTAGTGTAAATATGTATAGGTAAATTGGCAAGGACAGTGTCCTGTGTATATCTTGGGGCTGTTTTTTGTCTTTCAGCTAATGGGTTCCTTACAAAGATCTGCTGATCGGGCGCATACTCTATCTCAGGTTCGCGTGTCTGATTCCTATTCTGGATAAGGGTCGTTCGGTTACTAAGGGACGATTGGTTAACGATGTCATATACTTTTTTCATCTGTTCTTTATGTGTCTGTAAGTATTGCTGTAACGTTTGTTGAGTAAGGTCAATGTCAAGGCAGTCTCTAGGGTCAAACCGGTGGTGGGACCGCTTGGTCCCACAACCGGATGATGGGTGCCGGTTGCGGGACTGTGGTCGCAGGGCCGCATCCGGCGGAGGGGTAGGCCGCGGCGGGAGAGGAGTGCCGGTATTTCGGTGCGCCGTTCTCCCTACCTTCCGCGGCCTAGACGGGGCCGCCACCGTTTGATGGCGGACGCGGTGGGGCTGCAGGGGAAGAGGAGTGTCGGTGTTTCGTTGCCGCTCTCCCTGTCCTCTGCAGCCGATTGGAGGTGGCCCACTTCGGTGGGTGGAGGTTCGGTTTTATGGGGCTGCTCCGGGTACCTCTCTGGTGTAGCAGAGTTGACTGTGGAGCAGCCCCATCGGTGTGGTGGTCAGCCGTTGGGCAGACCTGCCGCCGGGGCGCCGTAGTAGTTATGCGCAAGCGATCCTGCGGCGTCCCATTAAGGCGGAGGGTAGGGGAATGTCGGGTTTTAGTGGGTAGTACCGGCTCTTCTAGCCGGTGAGCCCCACATCACCACCTGGGGGATCAGGTGGTATGCGTAAATGCATTTCCCGACATAAAAAAAAAAAAAAAAAAAAGGGTCAAAGTGTCCGTTTAACAAATCAAAGGGTCTACATCTCGTGAAACTGTGTATAGAACTATTGTAAGCTATTAAAGCGTAAGACATAAGGTTCACAATGGGTTCGTCTTTATGTTGTAATTTTAAAAGTCGCAGATGTTCAAGGAGAGTCGAATGGAATTTTTCAATATTTCCGTTGCCATTAGGAGAATGAGCTAAAGTTTTGTGGTGGTTAATTTTGTGAAGTCTAGTAAATTCGTTAAATAATTGGTTAGCAAATTCTGTTCCATTGTCAGTAATAATAGTCATAGGGACGCCATGGTGGGTACAATATTGTAAAAGGGCTTGTAACACGCTAACGGCTGTTCCATCGCGTAAGTAATAAGCTTGTCCGTATTTGGTAAAGACGTCTATGAAAGTCACGTATTTGATATTCTGTATTGTCAGTAAGTCTATGTGAATAATTTCAAATGGTTTTGTCGCTGGAGGTACAACGTTAAATTGAGGTCTGACCGGATTTCGATCGTACTTAGCTTGTCCGCATATAGTACATTCTGTGATAAATTTAGTTATTTGATCTTTCATTTTCGGCCAAAAGTAATTTC